AAGGAAAGCTTGCGTCTGTAAAATACAACCAGATTTTATGCTTTTATAATAGGGTGTGGGTACGGGTGTGGATGTGGGTGTGGGTGTGGTTGTGGGTGTGGGTGTGGATGTGGGTGGGTGTGGTTCTGGGTGTGTGGCGTGGGTGTGGGGGCAAATAATGTCCACACCCACACCCACACCCACACCCACACCACCCACACCCACATCCACACCCGTACCCACACCCTATTATAAAAGCATAAAATCTGGTTGTATTTTACAAACGCAAGATTTCCTTGCGAGACATTGTACATTCAAGAAAAAAATTGAGCTTCTTCAACAACTGAATGTTAGATATTATCAATTGATGAAGTTCTATTCTTTAATATGGTTTGATTTTATTTTTCTATAAAAACAACATAATATAGTTTCAATACACACTGAAAATCATGAAAACTTCAAAATTTACTTGAACAAGTGAATACTAAATTATCGACTTATTCCTCCAAACAAAAGAATCGCGTGACAATATCTCATTAGGATACTGGTCGCATAATATCAGCTTAACATAAGTTAGGTTCTATCCTAATTCTTATTTTAATTAAGCTCTACTTGCTTTCAATTTTTCAAAGACCCTCTTTAATGACCCCAGTTCTATTAATTTTTGTTATTTTTTCTAATATCCTTCTAGTTCAACCTAAATGTTATTTCTGATTTTGTGCTTATAATTGTAAATGCAGAACCCTGATGAGTTTTTTAATGTATTATCAAACAACACGAAACGTGCCGGCGAAATTAAACTCTGCATTTCTTTTCAAACTTTTTAAATTCAGAGCACATTTATATAGTATTTGATTTATTCGGTTTCTGAAAAGCAAAAGTTCAGATTAGCAGATTGATTTGTATCTTAGAAATATAGTTCGATGTGTTGTCATTTGATTTTTCTTTTTCCTATGATGACTTCAACCATTTTTTGTGAAATCCACTCCCAATTCTAATAGTTTCTCGAAAGCAGCTGCAAAATGCTTGCCAAAGAGATCTTTATCATTGGCATATTCTACTACATATTTTTTAAATTCAGGATCTTGAATCAGTGCCATATCAGTTGGTAACATCAGGAAAGATTGTGTCCTCACATCTTCGAACTGTTTTGAACCATTCCAATGACGCTCTTGCCATTGTTCGTTCAATAAAAAACGGAAAAATTCATTTGAAAATGCGGTCGGTGTTGTCGTCCAATCTCCATCGTAACCGCTTCTATCTATGTGACACCGACCCAAAGAATGAGCACCAATCAAAGCAACAATTTCACTATCATTGAAACCCATTCGATAGAAAATATCCCGGATGTGTTGGACTCCTTGAGAAGCGTCCGGTAATCGACCATCGGGTGGTGACTTTTTCCCATCTTCATAATCACTTCGTCCGTATCGCCATTTGATGGTCGGACCGCCCATTCTTTCGATGGCCACGACTCCAGCAAGCGTATACAAGTCTGCATAGGTTAAGCCTGGATAAGCATGATGAACACTTTCCAGACGTTCTCGTGCTATATTCAAACCTAGAATGAGAAAGCAATAGAAACATTGTGGATGACTTTTAGTTCTACACGTTTAAGAACATTTCTTCTTTTCTAGAAAATCGAAGAACAGTAAAAATTGAAACTTTTAATATGACTAGATCTTGACTAGTAGATAAAAAGCAGTGTTAGACTTGAAATGGCCATACATCGTTCCGCTATCCATTCCGACCAAGCGAAGTAACCATTGAAGGTCAAACCTTCTCTTATTAACTGGACACACTTTTGCGTGAATATTTTTTTCCCATTTCATAAAATATTGAATCAGATTTTAGGGTATAACAAATTTTTCAAATTCTTTCAAAATAGAATGTAATACAGTTTCAGATTTTTTTTGGCGAATTTGAAAAACATTAAATAAAAAATTTACATCAAGGCTGAAATTTTTGTTTTGAATTTTAAGTTCAATAGAGAAGTCTTGCAGATACCAAATTATGTGCTTTGCTTGATGTAGTATACTATTCTTCGAATTCTATCTGAAAAATGTCGGATCAGGTTTAAAATCCGACTTCACATTTGTTTTCTTCTCTTATATTGTGAAGAAGAGATATTTTCCAAACGAAACATGCCGTTGAGAAGTTAGAATATTTCTCTGTCGAGCTTGCATTTCAGTCTTGATACAAAGTTTTTATTTAGTGTTCATTCAAAACAGGCAAAAAACTCGACGAAATACTTATTGGATTCGTTGAATCAATATCGAAATAATGTTCAAATACTGACATGTAAAATAAGTAGAACGAAAAGGTTATTTTTTAGACTGACCGATGTTTACTTCAAAACTATTGAAGAATCAGTTAAAATGAGGCTGAAATTTCGGATTTATAGGTATCCAATTATGCTCTCTTTCCAAGACTAAAAGAATGTATGTGAGAAGTCTTTTTTCAGTCTTGCCATAGATTCTATCATGTGTGGTTTTGAGCAATGTTGAACTTGCGTACTCGAGATCAATATACAAAGTGCATCCATTTGATACTTTTGTATGTTTCTGTGGACAGACCATCCCCGGGAGAGAAATCAAAAATGAAACTTGTAACAATGTCTCTTGAAATGTGTTTCATTCCGTGAAATTTTGAATATGTCATTGATATTGGGAGAAAACGTTTAAAAACACTTAAAAACTGAGTATTTATGATTAAAATATATTTTATGAGTCGAAATATGTTGAAACAACATGTGTTATTAGCGATTATGAACAAATATGAGAAGATGAATGCTGGGAAAGATATACGGCAAATTCTACAGTATGTGCTGACTACAGGACTTTTTCCAAAAACTTGAGAGCTTTCAAGAGTTCCTTTATAAACTCACATTTTGAAAATATTTTAATAGTATATTTTGAAATTTCTGCAAGCTGAATCAAATCACAAAATATAGTTGTGGAGTTACGATTTAAACGATGAAAATACGTGGTTCAGTTTTCGAAATCCAACGTGACCTTTTTTATGGGGAAGAATCCGAATAATATGTACTCGAATTTTGAATCAGAGATATTGATGCACATATAGTTAAATAAAATTCACTTAATTTTTTTTGGAATAATGGCTCATAGTTCACATTTTGCTTTCTACATTTTTAAAAGTCACTTTAGGATTTTGTTGGCAAGCAAATTCTTGTATTCTGTACCTATATTACATAACTAGAATCCGTACTTTCAACCGAAACTATGAGACCAAAAGCTCATCAGAAGTTCGATGAAAAATCTCTCTACAGACACGAAAATGCTTACCCTTATTAGCTCCCCAAACACTTTGGGGTTCAAAGCGTATACAGCCACCGTTGGAGCCGCCGGTTGAATCCAAACGAGAATATGTGCCACTCGCATGCCAAGCCAGTCGAACGAATAGCGGACCGTAACTTCCATCATCATAGTTGTTGTCATCCAGTAGAGCAGCAATAGATTTGCTTAATTCGGCATAATTGACTTCTGATGAATAAAAATTGCCAATTATTTGTAGTGATGAGCAGTATTACTTTTATTAATATTTCTTAGTTCAATTATTTTCGAATTTTACTATTGATGATAAAAAAAACAGTGATTGGAAATCTAGTACACATCTTCACTTTGCTAATATCTCAAGAACTAAATGAGTTATAGTGTCGCTTTTTTTAATAATTATGGTCTTCAACATGCACTACGAATCATGCCCCATGTCATGGCTAACGAAAGCAACGCTAAAGCTCATTTAGTCTTTCAGATGTGAACAAGGCAAAAATGTGTAATCCGCTTCCTGATCACTTTAGTCATCTGCTATCCATCAGTAGGGATGGCACTTTACTTTTACTTTACTAGTAAATAAATAAAAAACTATTCACTATTTACTTTGGCAAACGTAAATCTAGTATTTAGTTCGGTAAAATAAACGTATGAGCTACAGTAGTACATATATTAAATGATATATGTGTCTTCTCCTTAAATTAATGCACTACGTGTCTGCGTGGCTTCGAATAGGAGAGACCAGTTATCGTTCCATTACCAAGTAATCGGCAACGGGATAATGAAAATCTGGAGAAATTCTTATTATCAACGACAAGTATTTTATGAAAATAATGATTTTAAATAAGGCTCAACCGAAGGTAATCGGGGTCGAGGAAACCGAATCTGCAATCGGTTTATTTAATTTTTCAGTTTTTTTTCAAGTAAGAAGCTTGTTCGAAAGGAAACCCATTTGTTTCCCAAGAAAACAATTTTTTCTGAAGTTTTATTTACTGGAAAAAGCAATTTTTTATTGAACAAGGGCGGTCTGAATAAGAAAATGCTCTCAGAAAAAGACAGAATGTGTTTTTACTAAAATGGTGTTTTATTTATTATTAAAATCATGATCAAAATTTCGACAAACTGATTGCAAATTGTGATTCCTTGACCCCGAAATCATTTGGACAAGATTTATATAAAATTTAAATTTTTGCGTGAAATAGCCATCTGATACAGAAAATTACCGAAACATAGTAGTATTCGCATCACGAATGTCGTTTTATCACATAATGTGACATGAGTTAAATGTGAACTCCAAACAACCCAGTCTTAATAGTAAGTAATTCGGTTTTTTCGATAGTGCTTATTATCAAGTTATTCAGTTTCAAGTAGCAATAGATGACATATAATCTCAAGTGTAAACTAATACAGCTAAATACCTAACTTACTCAAGTCGAACCAAAAAAATGTTATCTGTCTCTATTTCTTCCACCAAAAGAATTCAAGTAAGAACCATGAATTGGCATACTTTCACTTCCTCAGTTTCTGATCTTAGTCAGAGTCATCATACGAGAAGACGCTATTTTTCTTGAAGTTAGAGACGATAAGAGATATCAGGATGCATTTCAATGAGAACGCAAGCAAAACTGAGTTGATCATTATTGGTGTTTCGCATACTGAACGTAGAGAAGAAACAGTCACGCTCATATGAGCGCTCATGATCGTGAGCATAAGCTGTGTACGCCTAGATAATGGTACCCAAATCTCAAGAGGTAACAAACTAATTTCAATAGGAGAAATCAGTTTGAAATCATTCGAAATCACCTGAAGTTACAAAATATGTTTGTTTCATCCTTGCCAAATCTAGAACACTAAAATGTGCAGGATGACGCCTGTTATGTTAGGGAGTAATCTCTATAACTTTTCAAGGACTATCAATAGATAGTCACCTGAAGTTTTCAGAGCTACGCAGTGATATTGCCTATCAATGACGGTTCGCTATTAACATGATTGAATACAAACAAAGTTTAAATAGCATTAAGCATAGTTTAATCTTACGTAGAAAAAAGATCAAAAACTAATACTCAATTACTTTATGTTACGTATTAATAGTTCGCTTGACACTTAGCATATGTTTGATTCCTTTTGTTCAGCACTAAACATATCACAGAAGTCATATCAGAGCACCAAACAAGCCACTTGATCTGCTCGTCTGCCCGTAACAGGGGCAGGTCATGGTTTTAAGGCTTAACAGACCCCTATGATTAGTCAGGCAGGCAACGTAAAAATGGCAGGCCGCTTGACCTGTCCACTTTTTTCTTTGACATGAACTTTTTATTTCATAAATCGAATTTACTTTTAGAAAACAGACTCCGTTGAGTTAATTTTTACTGATGATGATTAAATATGACTTATTACACAAACCTTGAGAAAAAATATCGTGGATGGATATAAATAATCAGATCCATTATCATTATAAGGATTTCATCAAAACCAAGGAGGAATACATAAATAATGAGATCGATCCGTACTCCTCCTCCGAAAAATTTGTTTGTTATTGGGCAAAGCTGCTAGACAAGGATTTCAAAATTAATTGCTCGTAGAATTATTTTTATTGTACTTATTTACACTATAGTCAGCTCGTTTGTAATAGTACATAACTATTCTATACATATTACATCCAACCCTTGATGATAATCAAATCTATTTAACTATCATTATTTTAGTCGATCAAGGAAGTTTTCTTATATTTTGATAGAGATTTTTATGCACTTCAACATGCTATGAAAACATCGAAGAAGAAATACTAACTATAGAAAATCAACTGAATAATATCGTTCTCAGGAAATGACTTTAAGTGTTTTTCACTTGTATTTCGTAGATTTCGATCAGAAAAAGCACGGCGTAGATAAAAACCAAAATCATTATACGAATCAGTATTTAACACCGACTAGGTTTATTACAATTTTAAATATTTTTATCGCAAAAACTACCACTAATTTTTCTCAGGATTGTTTCGAAAAAACATCTAGTCAAGATGGTATTGTGATGGTTTTTTCATAAGCTACTTTGTCTTCTTGTGCTATTGTGCAGCCTTAGAATTTTTGCTCAATAGTGAAACTACTCATCAATGTGATCTGTTTTTTAGCTTAGCATTGAGGGAGACTAGAGGTAACTTTCTTGACGAAAAGATTTGAAATTCACATAAACCTAGCGGATGTTTAAAGACAGATTCATAAAATAATTTTGTTTTTTTTACCCGAAATGTACTTTTTCTGATTAAAACCTACAAAATACTTGTCAAAAGACTTAAAATTATCACTCTGATACAATTTTCCGATTTCATCAATTATCGACCTCGTCCTGTCCATGTTTGTCGTTATTTTCCCTGATTCACTTTTAAGCACTAATTAATTCAGCTGAAGATGAACTGCATTTTTGTGCTGCAGGTTTCATAGTTGTTGTATCCGGTTTTTCTTATGATTTCTTTATAACGATACTTTTTCAATTTATATTAGATTTAGGGTGGAAACTTATGCTGTTGACGCCTCCACGATATGAACATCTAATTATACGGACCAATCTAAGTTGACACTGGGCTACTTTTGTTTAAAATTAGCCACTTGTTAGTGAAAGCCACCCTATAGTGAATTATGAATCATTCTTTCTGAATTCTACTGACTAGAATACACTCCCTGAAGTTAACTCTTTTCCTGCTTCTGTTCTAACGAGCTATGGTGCACATACAAGAAAGGAATTTCTCTACATAGCAAACACTTTTAAAGATTTTCTTATATGCTCATATTCGAGAATTTTAACTAATGCCATCTTAGCTGAATCCATTGGCTTATTAGACTTCCAATAAAGCATAATACTTCAGTGTATTTTTTATGATTATGACATTAGCATAAAAAGGATAGTAGACAGGTCTTCACAGACAGACCAGGCTTACAGTAATTATCAATAAATTATTAAAAGCTGGTCTTGTACGTAAATCTTAGTCCCCTTATGCAACTCCAACATTATTAACAAGAAAAAAAGATTAAATTTGAAGATCACTGTAGTTGTTCATTACAAAAAGTGAAATGCAATAGCAATAAAAGATAATTAACCTCTTCCTAACATGGAAGTAACACTTCAAACTCTTGGTGGGGGTTATTATTATTTTTTGAAACTCGACTTGAAGCCAGGATTTTGACAATTACCTACTGATGAAAAAGATCGCCATAAAACAACATTTACAACTTCTTTCGGTTTGTACGAATGGAATGTACTTCCTCAAGGTCTTCGTAATGCTCTTCTAAGTTTTCAACGCATTATGAACAATTTACTATTATCATGCATTGATTTTTGTTTAGTTTATTTAGATGATATCGTCATTTTCTCACGTAATTATGATGAGCATTTAATTCACCTTGAACAAGTATTAAATACTCAACAATTACATAATTTAACATTAAATGTATCAAAATTTCAACTGACTAAACAAACAATTGAATAATAAGGTTGTGTAATTACTTCAACCACAATTACTCCATTACCAGATAAAATCAAATCAATTCTTTTATAATCGGAACCTAAGTGACTAGCTCAAGCGAATTAGTTTATAGGTGCTTTATCAGAGTACAGAAAGTTTATTCCAAAATTTGCAAGTATTGCAGCACCTGTACATGCAATTACCAATCTTTCAAAATCAAATAGACTTAAGTTTAAGTAGGGTTCAGAGAAATCAAAATCTTTTCACGATTTTAAACATTTGTTAGTATCTCATCCACTACTCTTAAATTTTCCTGATGATACGCAACCTGTTTTATCATTCACTGATGCATCGAAAGTGCTATTAGGTGGTGTGCTTTATCAAGAAATAAATGGTGTTAAAAAAGTACTTTATTATCATTCCGAATTATTATCTTCTTCTCAACAACGCTATCATCCTATTGAACTTGAAGCATTAGCTATTTTAAAATGTATTTCTAGAATGAAATCGATTGTACTTGGTAGAAGTGTCATTATTTACACTGATAATTACCCTCTGTGCGATATGGTGGATACGAAGGCGTTAAATAAACGAGTTGAACGCACAGCATTATTATTTCAAGCGTTCAATGTTGAACATATTATACATGTGACGGGAAAGCATGATTGTTTATCCGATTATCTTTCACGACATCCCATTTCAAATGATGAAAAACAACTAGATTCTGTATATGGATGGGGATTTAAAAAAGATAAATCTACCTGTTCAATCAAATTTATTGGTGTTGTGGTTATCAGGTCAAAAACTAAAGTAACACCTAGTAATGTTACTTCTCCTGCATCTTCAGTACCATCAGATAAATGTTCTTTAGTACTAACATCAACTTCTTCATCTGCTTCTAATGATTCATGCTAGCTTAAAACACATTTTGATATTACACAGTTACAAGAACAACAAACTAACGATATTAAAACTAAAAAAATGACCAATGATTTAAAATGCAATCCAATTATTTCCTTCGAATTTAAAGATGGACTTCTACATAAATTACCAGCTACTTCTCGCTCGAGAACTAAACGACAATTAATTTATATTCCGTCCTCTATGATATAATCATTACTTGTTTCATATCATGATAATCCTGTGATTGGTAGACATTTTGCTGTTAGAAGCACATTGGATAAAATTAAACAACAGTTTTAGTGGCCGGCTATGAAGCAGTCGGTTATTGATCATATCCAATCTTGCTTTGTTTGCCAAGCTTACAATTTAAGTTGACAGAAACGTCCGAATTTTCTTTATTCAGTTCCACCACCTGATGATTCTAATCAACTACACGGAGTAGACTTTTGTGGTCCATTTCCAACAACACCATGGACACTAGTAAGGAGTGCGACAAAGGGCATTCTTAGGTTTTGATAGACTGTTTTCGTCAATTTAGACTCAGCAAAACGAATTGGTGCTGGTATTAAAAGAAAGAGAATTTTCTGTCGAATTTAACGAGAATTTGTTCTGTTAAACCATCGTTAGGCATTTTTTATGACCCTAAAATTACTGAATACCAGAAAAGCGTCAGCTGCTCAACTACTAAATCATGAGCATTTGAAAATACAATTTCGACAAACTAGATTGAGCTCACAATTTTATTTTTCTTCAAGTAAGGTATATAAAATTGTTTAATATATCAATGATCTGCTTATTTAGGCATGCTTAGTTCGTGTTTTGTTGAAAAACAATAAAACACCTTAAGTATATCCCCGACTCAATACGTACATATATATATATACATATTCTATGACTTTCTCAAATAGAAAAGCATTACGCTAAAATATGATATCGCGCCTACAAAACATATATGCTACTCTCATTTTTATAGTGGGCTGAAACAGTGAATAGGAAGCTATTTAATACATAAAAATCGTATTTGATTTTAGCGAAATGCAAACTATTTGATTCTTTTGTGTTAGGCAGTAATTGCAATGTTACAAAGGAATGCAAAGCACTTATTGGAAAAGGAGTATATAAATAAATCCAATACAAAGCTCTCTATGTTCCAGTATCTGAGGCAAACTTTTAGGTTAAGTCTAATTCGAGAGAGCAATTTATCAACAGATGCTGATTCATTTTCTTGCACTCTTTATCTATTCATTTTTCAAGATAAACATAGTACTCAAGAGAGATAGCTCACATTTAACGACAAATTTTATATTTGTTTGATTGTATTCAATAGATAATCTGTTGCACAGAGCCTTAGCATAGGCAATTACATATGTATTATTCGCATAAATAGTCTATATGTGAATATCTACATTATGATAACATCACGAGGAAAACATCCAAGAATTAGAGAATGCATCCTATTCCGCGATGTTGAACATTACGGAATCAGTTCCGTCCACAGAATCAATTCCGTCCAATGCTAGGAACTCGATCATGATTCCACAGAACAGGTCTAATTCATATAGATCGAGTTCCGGGAATTTCCAGAATTCCGGCAATTGTGCTGAAACAGAATTCCTTCTAATTCCGGAATTTTGGGAATTGTGTTGAAACGGAATTACTTCTCGCCCTCACCCTCACACAGGGTGGTGTGTTTGCAGATTAGTCCCTGGGATAAGTTAGTAACTCCGGTACGGAATTCTGGGAATTGAGTCGAGATGGAAATGCTCGGAATTTCTAGGAATTCCGGGGAATTCCTTTTGATTCTGGAATTGCAAGAACTTCTTCAAATTCCGAAATTGCTCGGAATTTCTGGGAATTCTTTCTGATTCCGGAATTCGAGGAACTCCTTCCGATTCCGTATAATTCCGGAATTCCAAGTATTATTCCAACTCCTTATTTGTAAGTCATTTCTGGGCATTGGGAGTAATTCCGTCTGCAATCAGTTCCCGGTATTCCGGGAATTGGCGGAACTCGATCGATGTCGAGTAGGTCTCTTATGCTGAATGATGATCGAGTTCTCGGAATTGGATGGAACTGATTCCGCAATGTTCAACATTGCGGAATAGGACGACTGCTCGAGAATTAAGCTTAACTATATCCTGCCTCGTAACGGTCGTTATTGCTTTCCATCTCGCTTCGTCCCGCTGTAACTTTTCCTTGTTTCGTTCCGGGCCCTTCTCGATTTCCCACCCCATTTCCACCTCTGACCCATACTCGCACTCACATCCACACGCGCATGGATACTATGAAAAATTGTCGATCTTTCCTTATATTAGGTGATTTAGGCAGCTGGTTTGATTTGAAAACGAAGCAGTCATCACCTGCTTGACTCCTCCATTATTTTACGGATGGATTCAACATACGTTCGTCAAATCTTTGGTAATCGACTGAGATAGTAAGAATTACTCAGGATTACGATACTAAAACCGTGTTCTTCATCGACACTTTGCTCGCAGCGAACAAACAAAATCTGGTAGGTACGTTCGAGCGTACATATCTCCTGCACCCTGAATCTGTTCATGATCTCTATCCTTTCTCGCTTTTCGATAGACTTCGCTTTCATTCATTTAGCTTAAGTGGATCTATTAAATTTATTCGATGAAATTTCATTATCGTGCGCTTTTAAGACATTTTATTTTTCAGCAAAGTTCTCCTCGAAAGTCGATTTTCCGGAGAGTCTCTAACGGTTTTTCATTGGCCGAAAATGAAACTTCAGCCGACCACGTTGCTGTCCGTTTGTTGTCTGTTTGAAATAAGATTTTGATCAGCCAGTATGCTGTTTTCTAACGATTCCAGTCGGGAGCGATTGAGATTCTTTACAATCTGCCTGCTCGAATCTTGTTTTACTCATGAAGAACTCAGCAGATTTATTGATATATACAAGTTCTGGTATGTTCTCCAGTCTGCCATTCTTAAATTCGTGAAATTCAAATATCATTAATGCCAATAAACAGATAAAAGAAAAGCAGAAAATGCGAGCTGTAATTTCAAACTGGATAGGAGGCTAAGAGGACTATATTTAAGGATATTATATGTTATACATTGAAGTATTTCCGACTTCGTAAAATCAGACATTTTTGAAACTGAATGAATCATTCAAACGATGTTTCATCTTCGATTTCAGTCAGGATTTGCCATTTGATGAATGCTTTGCTACAAATGGGAATAGGTTTGTGAAGAAAAATATCGTTCGCTCACTACTTGTTCATTGGTTAGAGTATGCTCATTCTATCTCTCTTCGCGTTGTCTCCTTCTTTCTTTCAAATAAATCATGTAATCTGAGTTATAAGAAGCGCGTAAGCGAGAAGAAGAATAAAGAGACGAACTAGACATATGAACTCGGGATCCGGACAGTTGGTCGCAGGACAGTTGGTCGTATAGTGTAAATAAGAGGAATATGAGTATAATAACCACACAACACTAATACAATGAATTGATCTCGTGTGGAAGAATAATCATCATGAT